TAAAGATTAAGATGGAGACTTTTGTGGACAGAGAATGATGGTTTGCCCTGAACTAAGGGAGCATGATTAACTCATCTCCATGCTCTGAAATTCACATTAGACAAGGTAAAGATTTTGCTAGGATGATTGAGTAGAAGGTATTTATTTGAAACTTACTAACAGTGAATTTTGGGAACCTACGCTAGACTCCTTGAAATATTTAAGATCATTGGAGAGAAAGAGAAGATCTAGAAAACTTATATAGAGAGAACACAGGCGATATATGATGGACTGAGAACCAGAAGGGCATCTGGTTTCTCAGCTGGAACACTAGAAACAAGATAACTGTGAAGTAGAGCCTTCAAATTCCAAACAAATGCCAGGCCCATGTGGTGGCACATTCCTGTAATCCCAGGGACTTGGAAGGCTGAGGCAGGAGTATCTCAAGTTCAAACCCCACCTCATCAACTTAGTGAGGTTCTGTCTCAAAATAAAAATATAAAAAAGGTCTAGGAATATAGCTAGTGGTAAAGCACTCTGGGTTTAATCCCCAGTACCTGTCCTCCTCCCCTACAAAATTCTAAACAATTTCCAACCTAGAATTTTCTACCCAGTCTACCAGTTAAGCATGAAGATAAAGACATTTTCAGATGCAGGGTTTCAAAAAATTTCCTCTGTGTCATGTCTGGCTAGTAAGGGATGCTCTCCATCATAAAGAGGTAGTTAACTTGGAGAGGAAAATGGAGATGTGACTGAGGAGCAAGACAAAGGGACAATGTTCAGTGGGAGTCAGAAAGACAGCTGGGCACAGGCCTACAAAAAATCATGCAGATGAAACTGGGGGATGGAAGGTTCTAGGAAGGAAGTTTCCAAAAATTAAAGTGGAACCTGCATGTCCAGCTCCAATTCAGATGAATTCCTTATTATGTCAAAACATTTGAGTTTGAATTAGTGACATCCTGAAATCTAGGCAAATGGAACAAACAAAGCAACTATTTCAGGGAAAACAGAGTTATAAAAAAGAAAACCTGACCATGGGAAATGCAATTCCATGGTTTAGCTTGAAGTAGTGTTGACAGGGTTATAATGAGGAAAATATCAATGTGATAAGAAATTGCAGTTGAAACACATTGAGAGATTGCAGGTGAAGGAAGTATGTGCATTCATCTATATCAGGGGGAGGGGCCACCTAAATGCAGTAAGTCAGTAAGTAGGTAATGTCTCAGGTATTATGTCATATTTTCTTCACTTTTCTGTATTTCTTTTAAGTTGACAATTTTCTTTCTTTTTTTTTTTTTTTTTTTTTTTTGGTGTAGATGGACTCTACATAATGCCTTTATTTTTATGTGGTGCTAAGGATCGAACCCGGGTCCCGCCCGCACTAGGCGAGCGCTCTACCGCTGATCCACAGTTCCAGCCCCAAGTTGACAATTTTCTAAAAGGAAATTTTTAATGAATAGCTGTGTATTAAAAAGGCCAGTGGTGCATACCCATCACTCAAAAATAACAACTGTTAACTTTTTTTTTTTAGTTTTGTTTTTTTAGTTGTAGTTGGACACAATATTTTATTTTATTTATTTTTTTATGTGGTGCTGAGAATTGAACCCAGTGCCTCGCACATGCTAAGCAAGCACTCTGCCACTGAGCCACAACCCCAGCCTCCCAGCCCCCATTAATCTTGTGTGTGTTAAGCCTCTGTATATACATTAGCAGGTAGGGTCACACCATATAAGGACTTATATGAAGTCAGATCATATCATGCTTCCCACATGGCAGTCCAGGGCCCTTTGCATGAGAATCACGTGGGGAGCTTTTTGGAAGTATAAAATATTTCCAAATATTAAGGCTTCTGTCCCAGAGAGTTTGATTCATTAGCCTAGGGATTTTGATGTACACACAGGTTTGGGGATACCATTTAGTAAATGGCTTTATTATTGTCCTGTAATAGTTTTCTCCCTCATTAATTTTTGTAGTGACAATGTAGTCTAACTCTGTGACTTTTAGTGGTCATTTTCTGTCTCCAGGAAAAGAGAGGGAACAAAGCCTCTGACAAAGCCACCCTTTTGGCTTTTGAGGCCCTGGTGACCTTCTGTGAAGAATTGGGGTAAGTGACTTATTTTAGTTATGGAGCAAAATGTCAGATCATTTCCTCCCCCCAGCAGCCATTATCTGACCAGCTAACATAAAACAGCCTTTGTCCACCAAGGGACAAAGATCATTGGGTTTTGTATTGAGGACCCTTCTTCAGGACCCTTCCTCTTCTCTTCTGGAGACCCCAGCCACTCTGGCAGTTTGAGGATTTGTTTAGCATTTTAGGTGGTCATCCACCTTTCCATTCTACTCCCTTCTAGGATGACTGACATTATGTGGCCAGCCCCAAGCCATTGGCATTATGGTCATCACATGCCACTGAGCTGGGTCTTTTGCTTTACTCCAAGTATCCACTCTTATCTATGTCCCAAACAGAAGCATGTGACCCTCTTATCTTTTGGGCCAGGAGGCATCACGTGCTTTAGAGAAATCACCCTTTCTAATAGCCAGCCAGCCCACATGGAACCCACTTGTCTCCTTTGTCTTCATCTGTGGGGATTGGGCAGGGTGTCATGATTGTGGCTGGACACATGTAGTTGTTAGTGCCCCCTGTGAGGGACACCCCAAAGGACTCTGTTATACTTGGTCTAAAAAGCTCTCAGATTCGTCTGATCTCATGGAACAGTCCTGGGAGGACAGCAGATATGATTGCCTCAAAAACAGATGAATAAACCAAGCTCTGGAGAGGTCACAATCATAAAGCTCAAGGTAGACAGAAGCCACTAAATTTGTGCCTCCTAATTGTCAATGGAGTGCTCATTTCATATACCTATGCCATCTTGGTTTTTGTAAGCATAGTGTCTTTTTGTTAGCTTGCTTGCTTGTTTTTATAGTGCTGGAGATGAAATCCAGGGCCTTGTGCATGCTAAGCGAGTGCTGTACTACTCAAGACTAGAATCTTGAAACAAGGTTCTGTGTAGAGGTACATAGTACCAGTGTGAAACAGATGTTTTGGGCTGTCTTCTGGAAACCAGGGAGACACTTCCTTAGGCACTGTCTTTGCATTCCCATCTCTGTCCTTCTCACATGAGTTGGTGGCTCCTTCTGGAAATGACCATCTCTCATTTGGTCTCTGTGGTAGGACCACACCCAGCAAAAGTGGTAGACTGTAATGCCAGGCCCACCCTTGCCTATGGCCCTCGCCACCAGAACCCTTTTCAGGCACTGGTTTAGGGATTGCTAAATTCAGCCTTCTTGGGCTCCTTGAGCAGACATCTCATTTCTGGTGAGGAATAAAAGGACCACTGAGTGTTCTTGCTAATTGTCAGAGCCCCCTCTGCTGGAAGCACCCTGGCTGGTTCTTGTTTGAGGCTCTGGGGGTTAGAACCTGCCAGGCAGGGAGACGATCCTCTTTGAGGCCTCTACTTCTATTTCATCTCATTTCAAGGAGCTGGGGTTTCTGAGTGTGTCAGTGGGCCAGCTGGGGGTAGGGGCCGAGGCATCCATGGGCCCAGGGAGTCCAGCTGAAGGCCTCCTGGGCTTTGTGCACAGCCTTGTACTTGTGTCTTGTTTTCTGTGTGTGAGGGTTCTGGATCCCAGGGCTTTCAGGCTGGAATAAAACCCCTGGTACGTCTGTAGGACGACTGCTCTTTGAATAAAAGGGAATGTTTATTATAAAATGGGGCAGAACATGAAGAAAAAGCTCCTTTCCACCCTATATTTGCTCCTTTTCTAAGAATAGTTCTGGTTTGAGGTCGAGGTGAGGCAGCTTTTCCTGCCAGCACTCCCTCAGGGCGGGCACCTGGCAGTGAGAGGATAGACCAGTGCAGTGGGTTTGCTAAGGTCAGAACATTTCTAAAAGAAAGCTGTTGTAGATGTTTGGGCATGTCGAGGTGGCACCCTGTGTAACACTGGGTGGGAGGGTCTGGGACCAACAGAAAAGGGACTCGGGTCAGTTGGGATTGAGGCCAGGTTGTGGCACCCAGCAGTGTGCCTCTCATCTCTGCATGTAGCTGTTTTCTCTGGGCTGTAGCCATGGAAAAGCATTATTCATGACAGGGTTTTTTATGTTTTAGTGATCTGGGAACAGTTATAAGGCATGAAGCAACCTCTGGCCTCGCGGCCTCAGTACCTTGAGATAGAAGAACAGCTCTGTGTTTAGGCCTGAGCTGAACTGTCTCTTGCGGTCTCCGAGCTGGGGAGCACAGAAGCCCAGTATCTTCCTGTTTATCCACTCATATGCTCATTCACTCATGTGTTCAACCAATATTGATTGATATCAGCTTTGCCAGGCACACTGGCCATGGGAATAAAATGGTGACAGAAAGAGACCCATCTCCTGCTTCTGTGGTGCTCAGTTTCCATGGGAAAGACAGGCATTTGTCAGGTAACTGATGATTCTTGCCAGATAATGATAGTGTACACCTGCAATCCCAACTACTTGGGTGGCTAAGGCAGGAGAATCACAAGTTTGAAGCCAGCCTGGGAAACTTACTAAGATCCTGTCTCAAAATAAAATAGAAAAGGCTTAGGTTGCTCAGTGATAGAGGACTTGCCTAGTATGGCCAAGGTCCTGGATCTAGTATCCAGTACCACAGAACAGAACAAAACAATAAAAATGTACAATTTCTGTTAAAAGGGCTCTGAAAAAAAAAGATAAATGGTGTTTTGATAGTATATAGCAGGTGCCCTACCCTAGTCCAGAGAGTCAGGAGAAATTTACCTGAGGAGTCAGGTTTAGACTGAGATCTAAAGGGTGAGGAAGCACTAGCTGAGCAAGTGTAGTGTTGGTGGTGCACACCAAGTCTGTGGCAGGACAGAGCAGGGCTTTTTCAGGAACTGAAACTTGCTCCAAGAACCTAGGGGCACGTGCCAGATGGCTGGTCGGACAGGCAGGGCCAGCACACAGGGAGAGTTGCAGGTCCCAGTAAGGCTTTGCTGGCTTCTTCTGGTGACCACATCTAGATAGAAAATGAACTCTTACAAGTTAACAGATTTGAAAAGGAATTTTTTACTTCATTTGGTTTGGTTGTTTTTGGTGTGTGTGTGTGTGTGTATGTGTGTCCTCTTCATGTTGCTGGCTGGGCTGGGAATCTATTGGGGGACCTTCTTATCCGTTGCTTCTCTCACCTGAGGACAGAGGAGAAGACCTCTGCATGACCAGTATCAGACCAACCTCCCAATCTTGCTATCTGACCAACCCTAAGGCAGACCCAGTGTTTGACTAGATTTTTTTTTTTCCTGGTGAGAAAAGACGACTGGACCCTGAGTCTGAGGGGACCACAGAGGGGTATGGGAGAAGCAGAGGAGCCCACCTCTCGTCTTCTTGGCCCCCAGGAAGTCACATCAATCCTCTTCATATTCTGTCTTCTCCAGTGGAGGGATTAAACCAAACACAACAGCAAACATGAAGAGAAACAGGACTGTGGAGATAAATAAGCCAATCACTATCAGGCCCCCCAGCTCCCAGGGGTTCTCCCAAAACTCATCATGCCAGGCGGTCTTCTGGATTGCCGCTTGGTCCATATAAACCTGGAAAAGAAAAGACGGAGGCTGTGAGTTTGGACCCTCAAGGTCCTGTCTCAGGTGCTACTCTCCACTCCCAACCTTCACACTAAGTAGCAGCTGCAGGGAATAGCTGGCCATGTGTGGTCACTGAAGAAATGGTGAGTCTCTGAGCTCCAAGTCTCCCGCAAGCAACAAATGGAGTTTCCCCCTTTGTAGAGAGGGCCCTGCATTCTTCCCAGAGGCTGCCCTGGAGCCTCCCTTTCTCTCCTGGTATGAGCCAGGACATTCGTTCTATTCGAGGCCTACTCAACTCAAAGCTAAAAAGCACTGCTATGTGTCCTCCCTAACTTTTCCTGCCCCAATTGCTAAACATTTGGGAGGCATTTTGAGAACAACCGCATAGGAGCCCACCCATGTGCTGTGGTGTGCTCCTATAGTCCCAGTTCTCAGGAGGCTGAGGCAGGAGGATCACTTGAGCCTATGAGTTGGAGGCCAGCCTAGCCAACAGAGTAAAACCCTGTCTCAAAAAAAAACAAAAAAAGGACAAGAGCCAAGAAGTGGCTCAGGCTTCAATAAAGTCCCTGGGGGACCCTGAAAATAGGAAATCTAAATATCTTTTCGAAATGGAACCAGTGTTTGGAGAGCTGTGAGCCCTTAGCTGAAGGGAGTAGAGAGGAGAAAGGAAAGAGTCATTACCTGCTGTTGTTACTGTCTTGTGACCTACAAGGGCAAATCAAGGTTGTCCTACAAGCTCCACGCTTTGGGGGGCCCTGACTGAAGAGACTGCCAGGTGACCAGAGCTTCACCCTGATTCAAGGAAGCAACTTTTTTTGGGGGGAAGGCGTTAGTTTTGACTAGCAGCCCTGACCAGACCTGCATTGCTGCCACCAGAACAAACAGCGGTGGGCTGGGGCTGGTTGCCTGGCAATGACCACTCCCTTTCTGCCTTTCACACTCCTCTCAGCTGCATCCTGCCTTTTGTGATGTCACTGTTGGGGTACTGTGGGCACCTGTTCAGAAGTGCTCCCAGAGAGCAGTCAGACTTGGAGTGGGGTGGGGGAGGAGACTGAACCCGGGGCCTGTACCCTAGGCCACCCACCCATCTTACCTGTATAGAGCAGGGTCTTGGCTTGGTTTAGATGACCTGTCCACAGAGAGAACCTGCCCAGAGCTGGGAGCCCTGGGGCTGGGACTGCCACCCAGGCCTTATTTCCAGGAATGTGGTGAATGATTAACTGCAGCTTCTGAAGGGAGTCTGGGGCGGGGAGCACTGTGGAGGCCTCACTTCTTGATGGTGCCTGTTGCCTCTCAGGCCAGGCCTTGGCTGCTGAGTGGCTGGTTGCTACCCATTGGTGTGATTGGGAAGCTAGGAAAAGGGAACAAAGCCCAAAACCTCATGGCACCCTTAACTGCTTTAAAAGCTAGGATGGGGGCTGGGGATGTGGCTCAAGCGGTAGCGCGCTCGCCTGGCATGCGTGCGGCCCGGGTTTGATCCTCAGCACCACATACAAACAAAGATGTTGTGTCTGCCGAAAACTAAAAAATAAATATTAAAAAATTCTCTCTCTCTCTTAAAAAAAAAAAAATGGATACCCTTAGAAAGTCCTGATCAGAGCCACTTCCTCTTTAAAATAAATAAATAAATAAAAGCTAGGATGGGTGGGCCTATTGTGACCAGGAACTGTGCCAGCCACTGAAACAAGAAGAGTGGGGCTGGCCCTTTGAGAGCTTATCTTCCAGCCCATAGGTCCTCAACCCTGCTTGTGACAGTCACTAAAATCTCTAGAAACGCCCAGGTCCCGCACATCAGTCTTTGGGATGCCAGGGTGCTGTGTTGTTTTAAACCTTCCTAGGGGACTCTCCCAGGTGTAGCCAGGTGGCTGACAGATGAGCAAGTGCAACAAGGCCTTCTTAACTGGAGAGCTGCGTGGACCTGGCCTAACAGAGCTTTCCACTTCCTTGTGGAGAACTTGCTGACTCATGTCCCTGGCATGTGGAGCACGCTGGTCTCTGGCACACCCTGGTACTTCAGCTCCACCAGTCAAGCCAGGGTCTTATCAAGAGTCAGTTGTTTGTCCCCAGACTGGTTTGTGGCAGTTGAACTTGTTGTTATAGTTACATAATCGAATGTAACATAAGCAAATGAAGCAACAATGATAACTAATATACCAATTTTTTAAAATTTTATTCATTATTGTGGGGGGGTACTGGGGATTGAACTCAGGGGCATTTTACCTTTGAGCTTCCCCAGCCCGTTTATATTTTTATTTTGAGACAGGGTCTTGCTAAGTTGCCCAGGATGGCATCAAACTTGCCATTCTCCTGCCTCAACCTCCCTAATAACTGGGATTTCACACCCGCCTAAAAGTCCAGTTTTGTAGATAGGACACAGGCACAGAGAAGTTCAGTAACTTACTCAAGGTCATACAGCTAGTAAGTATGGTTTAGATGACCTGTCCACAGAGAGAACCTGCCCAGAGCTGGGAGCCCTGGGGCTGGGACTGCCAGCTAGTTATAGTTGAGAACTAGCTGTACAGAATCTGAGCTCTGAGATACTACATTGTGCCTCAGAGTAAGTAGAGAAAGAAGTTGTTTCTACAGGTGCCTGCGTGACCCCTTGGAATCACTGGGATTATATTCCTGTCAAAAAAGATGCAGACATGATAACTAAATAGGAACATTATAAAAATTCAGTGGACTTTCACACTCAGATTCCTTTGCAAAGCCTAAGTTCTTGTTCTACTTCAAACTGTGTGTGTGTGTGTGTTTGTGTGTGTGTGTGTGTGGGGGGGTGTTGCTAGGGCTGGAACCCAGGGCCTTGTGCATACTGAGCAAGTGCTTTACCACTGAGTTGCATCCCCAGCCCATCTTGGCCTGCTGTAATTAAATCAAAACTACAAAATAGATACCACAAGGACTCTAGTCAGCCAGCCTACATTTAGAGAAAAGACCCTCGCCCTACCCCAGAAGGATTAGCCAGGAAATGTGTGGGCTTTCTCAATTTAAAATGAGATGTGTAGGGGCTGGGGTTGTGGCTCAGTGGTAAGGCACTTGCCTGGCATGTGTGAGGCACTGGGTTCGATTCTCAGCACCACATATAAATAAAACAAAGGTCTATCAACAACTAAAAAATAAAACCAAAAAATGTTTAAAAGATGAGACGTGTAGACAGTGTGTCATACACATGAAAGGTGCGTGGACTGACTGTTTCAGCTAACTGCTGTCCACATGGGGCATAATTCTGCTGGCATGTTGGTGTGAAGAGCATGAGCTGACGGGGAGGAGAGAGGGTGCTGAAGTTCAGTTGCTCGGCCTGCTGTCCTGTGAGGAAGCGGTGCATAAATTAAGACACAAAGACTGGAGACAGAGCTAGGGTCAGTGTTGTGTGGCAGGGAGCAGGCACAAGGAGATCAAGGGAACTTTTTCTAAGGATGAAATTCATTTGTCCTCAGTTGTGCTCTGAAATTTGTATTACAGTTTGTGTTCCTCATTTGTGCCATAACAAAGATTTTTATTGTAGATTGCTTTAAAGTGTTAATAATTGAGCAGATGATAATTTTTGTGCTCTGCCAAATTTTGCTAACCAGAGTCTTGCCCAATAGGTTTTGTAGTTGTAATGAGGTATAATACTCCCACAGCACAGTGCACAGATCTTTGGTGTGGAGCGCAGCCCTTCTGAGGAACTGAGAGCAGACGCTGGTGGAGCAGAGGCCACAGTGGGGTGGCATGAGGAGGCTGGTGAGATCACTGTGGAAACAGCCCAGGCCTCTGTGCAGTGGCCCTGGCAAGCACTGCTGGTGGCTTGGTCCAGTGTGGCATGGAACAGTGACAGGTGGTGACCAGAGTCAGTCAGATGTTCTCTAGGCCTGAGGCAACCTGATGGCTGTCCCTTATATGTAGCCATCTTCAGGCAGCCCGCGTCTGAAGCGTCTTTGTGTTTATTTTTCCTACAGTGGGGGTGTAGCTGCCTCCTCTCCAAGCCCCCTTCTCCAGGAATGCCCTGTGCTAGGAGCTGTGTGTCCCGGGGTTGGGCTGGAGCAGCTTTGTTTACCTGAGTGGGCTGGGGGCCTGCGTGGCACTTGGCCCAGCAGAGCTTGGGGGGCTCAGTGTTCACCAGGGAGCAGGAGGAGCACGTCTTCCGCAGGCAGGGACAGCCTCATATTTGGACCCAGCAGTTTTGTACTGCCTGCCATGGGACAGGAGGGTACACATAGACTAGCCAGACACCTGTGTGTGCCCTGGTTGTTCACGGTGCCTGACTCCCAGCAACTGGACTGGGAACTGGAGGCTTTCCTAGCAGAGTCTCAGCCTCAGCCACTCTTTAGGAGGGCCATTCTTGATGCCAATGAAACCTTGCTTTCTGGAGGAATCGGGCAAGCACTGGACTGCTTCCCAACCAAGTGTTCCCAGGACCCTCCAGCCAGCAGTGCTAGGAGTGAAAAATGCAGGGTTCTCCCTCCCACCATCCCGAGGTTGTTCTTCTGACACCTGGTTGAGCTCCACCCCAGCTCTTCCCTGTTGGGTACCTCCAACTCATGTGAAGGTCATTTTGAGACAGAGTTTGGGTGTGGGTGTTTGGGCAGTAGGGTTCTTATTATCCTCACTGGAGGATAATAAGAATCTTATCTGTCCTACATCCGGGAGGCCTCAGAACCCTGGGTGTGGTTAGCAGGAGTTCTGGAGCCAGACAGACTGGACCCAGAGGCTGGCTCAGCCACTTTCCAGCTGGTTGAGCTTGGACACCTAGTGTCACTGAGGCTCAACCTCCTCACCTCTAAATGGGGATAATAATGGTATCTAAGGCATTAAAGTATTGTGATGATTAAATGAATTGATCTGCATTGAAATGCTTAGACAGCTCTTGGGCGTGGACTAGCCCTCAGTGGATTCCAGCTCTTCATTGTCACTGACCTCAGTGTTGCCGTTGTTCTTTAGAATCCCTTACTTTGGACACTACTAGGGACAGGTGGATTCTTGGGTTTCTTTTCTTTTGGATGGAAACCCTTCCTCCCCAGGCCTTTGAC